CCCATACTGCGCCGCCATACTGGACGTCACAAAGTGTATTTGCACCGGCGTAGGCGACTCCCTAGACTCGTTAGTGGAGTAGGCGAGGTACGGTCCGGCATATTAGATAGTACCAGGGTACGTTCCGGTATACCGGACCGTACCCAGGGTACGTTCCGGCAGTACCCTGGAGGGCATAGACTATTACTATTACTATTAGACCCTCTCAGCGCCACTGTGTGCAAACTTACAGAAGGATACCGGTACAATGATCGGTTCAAGGATAGAGAACATGTAGCCCATATCAACTTTCAATATGAATACTACAAATAGTACAATACTCCACTCCATATTTCTGTGAGTTTTTTTTAATGCATCTGACAACTACTCACTTCAGAATTGCGCTGGGTTACGTCATGGTATCTATTCAGAATTATAGGGAAAGAGAAATAACAATTTTAATCACAAACATACACAAACGGAGAACTGAGAGTTTATTTACGCTAATCAAGCGCCATCTCTCGGATACTTCGTCTGTATTTCGCACTATTTCGGCGAACGTCGCAACCGGCAGTTAGATGCGATATGATATGACTACTAGGCACTTTAATTTAATTTAATTTTTTTTTTTTTAGGGTTAGGGTTAGGGTTTAGGTTAGGTTTAGGGTTTAGGTTAGGTTAGGTTAGGGTTAGGGTTAGGGTTTTTTTTTTTTAGTGCCTAGTAGTCATATCCTAAGTGCCTAGTAGTCATATCATATCGCATCTAACTAACGTCGAACGTCGGACATGACACGTGACCACTATTAAATTTCGCGCTACACCGGTTTATTACCTCCGCCAGGGGCATGGCGGGGGTTATGTTCTCACCGGCGAGTTTTTGAGTGTTGGTTTGTGTGTTTGCGTGTTACCATGCACGTTTCAGTTCACTTCCGCTAGGTGCGCTGGCTGTAGACTTACAAACACGCAACTAGTGGCAACTACAGGCTGAGGGGCAACCACAGTCCTCCCCCACCTGCACGCTCGCACTAATCCGAATCCAATTAATTATTTATTTAATTAATTAATTAATATTTTCACTTAATTAATTAATTTTTCCACTTAAATTGACTACGTCACGAATTTTCCATGATAAAATTTGTAAAAAAAAATTATCATTTTTATACCTTAAAAGTAAGAAATAACGTTACTAAATATATCCTCAAACTCTCACCTGATAAAAATGTTTTTACGTTGGTTAAATTTGCAAAAATCTAGACGATTTGGTAATTTCTGTTGTCTAACACTATTCCCCCAGTACTGTTCAGATACTGGCATCGGCATATAAAGAAGGTATATAAGCATGAAAAGTAAACAGAAACACTAATTGTATTTTCATACATTTTATTT